TTGCCCTAGGTGCAAGCACTTGCCAGAGAGAGACATAGAGAGACAGCAAGGGAAAGTGGGGGATGGCTACTGCAATCCCGTCTTCTCGATTCTCCTCTCGGGATTTTGGATATGGATGCATATGCACCTGGCATGACTTTCAAGCCTTTGGGTCCAGGACTCAAACCATAGTCAGCTATGTGGGAGTTTAGTACCTTAACAACCACGCCACCTGTTGGCACTTGTGGTGGGTTTTTAATATGAAATCTTCCATGCGCAGGCATATGCAATGTATTGATAACATATAAGAAATAGAATGAATGCTGTATCTGCCACCTGTTATTAAAAATTAGAATATTGGGGCCAGCAGCAGAGATACTTTCTCACTTTTCCTCTCTCTCTGGTGAACACATGTGCCCTTTAGTAAGTTAATAATAATAATAATAAAATTAAATAATTCTAAAGAAAAGAATATTGGGGCCAGCAGGTGTCATTGTGGTTAAGGTGCTGGACTCCCACGTGGCAGACTATGGCTCCTGTTCTGGTCCTGGCAGCTCGAAACTCATGCTGGGTGCATGTGTGTGCATGCCCAAAATCCCAAGAGGAAAATAGAGGAGAAGAGATTGCAGCGCGGCCATCCCCGCCGCGCCCCCCCCCCCCCCCCCGGAGGGGTTTCTTCCGCCCCCCCCCCCCCCCCCCCAGGGAGTGATTTCTTGATTTCTGTCTCTTTGTCTCTCTGGTGAGTATATGTGCCCTATAGCAAAAATCTCTCAAAAAATTAGAATATTTTCTATTCTGTGTTTTCCTCATAGCATACTTCTCCCTCCTCCGTGGAAGTCAGTTGAATTATGTGTTCATACTGTCTTGCTTTTCTTTATAGTTTTAACTACAAAGATACTTATTTATATAAAATATCCCTAGAAAGTACATTGTTTAACTATGTATATTTTCATAACTTCGTTACAAGGGGGACCATACTTCTTGCATTCTTAACCTATTTTTCTGCAGCTTGATCACACCCACCCCTAAGGATATGTTTCTCTAACATTGAACCACAACAATACATATAGCCAAAGGGCATTCGTTTTCACTGATGTGTAGTTAGTTCATTGAATGAATACCATTATTTATTATTCATTTTTTTGTCTGTGGATATTTAGGTTTTAATTGTTCTGCTACTACAAATGATTCTGCTGTGAATCATTATACAGCGTTCACACAGGTAAAAGCTTTTCTAGGAAACATGGAATATGTCCTTGGTTGCCTTGTAGCATGTGTCCATCGGGATGGGTGAGGTTATGCTGCCATAACAAACACACCAATGCTTGCGTTTATTTCCCCTTCCTGCTGTGACTCTGGCATGAGTGAGCGGGTCTTTTCTCATCATTGGTACTCAGTGAGGTGGATGGAGCCTCCATTCTCAGTGCTTCTATGATCATGCAGCATGGAAAAACAACTTCGAGACTCCCATAGGGGCCCTTACAACCTCTGCCTGCAAGTGGAGAAGCATCCCTTCTGCTTCTATTAGATTGGCCGGAACTGGCCACATGGCTGTGTAGCCTCAGAACCTGGAGCGAGCTCTCTGCTAGCGTGGAGTGTGGGCTGGAGGGAGAGCATAGGGATGTCTGTGAACAGCCCTATCCTGCATCATAGGGATGTGTATTTTCAACTTTTTTAGATAATTCCAAATAGTTTTCCAAAGTGATTGCATGAATTTACATTTCTGGCAGTGGTATGTAAAAATTCCCACAGTGGCAGGCCAGCAAGCGGCAGGGTAGTTAAGGCACTAGACTCCCACACGACTGAGAATGGTTTGAATCCTGGACCTGCTGGCTTGCTTTCTCACTTTTTTCCTCCCTCTCTCTCTGGTGAGCACACTTGCCCTAGAGCAAATTAAAAAGTAATAATAATAAATAAAATTAAATAAAAAAGTTTTCACAATGATATATCTTTATTGACATATGGTATTGTGGGATATAGACCTCTTTTTTTCCCCCTCCGATCTTATGGGTATTGGTAGTTCTTAGATACTGTTTCTCTTTGCTACTTATAGACATGAGAATCTTCGTGTGCTTATTAAATATTTATTTTTCCTTCAGAGAAATGTTTGTGTTTCTTGCCTGTTTTTTCCTATTAGGTTGTATTTGTCTTTTGTCTTTTTTTTTTTTTTTTTTTAAAGAGATTTTTGCTATAGGGCATGTGCACTTGCTGGAGAGACAGAAAGCAAAAAATCATCCCCTACGGGAATGGCCACACCACAATTCCTTCTCCAATCCTCCCCTCGGGATTTGGGGCATATATTTGTCTTTTAAAAACTGTGTTTGGCAGGTGCGCATACCCGTGTGTGGGAACACCTTTGTGTGCGTGTTCTGTTTTCTGTCTAATTATATGTTTTTTTTTGTTTGTTTGTTTGTTTTTAAAGCCAAGCTTTTGGGACCAGAAGTTAGTGTAATGGCTATGTTGCTGGACTCCCATGTAGTTGACCACGGTTCGAGTCCTGGACCTGGTGGCTGACCCATTAGCTTAAACTCATGCCACGCCCATGTGCGTGCATGCCCAAGATCCCAAGACGAAAATGGAGGAGAAGGAATTGCGCGTGGCCATCCCCCCTGGGGGGGGGGTGATTTCTCGCTTTCTGTCTTTCTGGCAAGCGCATGCACCCTGTAGCAAAAACCTCTCAAAAAAAAAAAAGGCCAAGCTTTTAATTTTTATTATGGGTCCCTTGAAGAACCAACAGTCTTAATTTTCATGCAGTCACCTTTTCCCTTAAGAGTGTGTGCTTTTCGTAGCTTGTTTAAGAAGAGGTCTTAGAAGGGACTCCTGATGGAGAGAGGAGCTCCGGAGGCGACAGCGAGAACCCCCTGTGCCCCTCCCCAGTCCACCCTGGAGCAGCGGAACAACTTGGAGCTGCAGGACAACTTGGAGAAGGGCAAGTGCTCAGCCACACTCCGAGTTTACATACACTGAAAGATCGGCACCCCTGGGGAGAATTTGTGGATAGATTATTGATACATAGCAAGCTACGTAAGCCAAGAGATCTGAGATTCCAGGAAAAATAAAGACTAGGGAAAGTTTTATATTTTTACTGAAAACTCAGCTCTCACTAATGTTTACAGAGTCTTAATAATGTAGATATCAACCTGGGATCTAACCTAAATGATGGTGTAAGGGGGTATAAATGGTGGATGGTGGTGGGATCAGTGGGAGGGAGCTAACCCCCCACTTCTTTTTTTTCTTTCTTTTGGAGAGGTTTTTGCTATGGGGCACATGCGCTCGCCAGACAGACAGAGAGACAGAAAGCGAGAAATCACCCCCCACCCCCCCAGGAGGAATGGCCATACCACAATCCCTTTTCCTCCATTCTCCTCTTGGGATCTTGGGCACACACGCACATGCGCCCAGCGTGAGTTTAAGCCACCAAGTCCGTGGCTTTAACCACAGCTGACTACATGGGAGTCCAACAACATAGCCATTACCCCAACTGCTGGTCCCTGACCCTCCATTTCTGATAATGTCTACACTGACATTCAGGACATAGTCATGTAAGCACGTTACCTGGAGTTGTGAAGGTGACTACAGAATGAATCCCTTAAGCTCTGGCAGAGGTCGTCCTTGGTAGGCAGGGAAGTGGGGACAGCAAGATGGAGGACTGTTGTGTTTCCTGTGAGCCTCATGGAACTGCAGGCTTTTTTTACACGGGCCTCTGACTTGGATAAAACAGATGGAATTTCGGAGAACTTGGCATTTTTCTGGGTAGCAGCTCTGTATGGGTAATGGGACTCCAGAAGGCATTGAGGCAGTGTCCTGTCACTGCCCCGTGGACGCCTGGGCTCCAGCCATTTGTCCTCTAGTAAACTATATTTAGCCTTCAAACTGCCCAGCATGTGTGGGGTGTGCCGTTTCACAGAGGTCTAAAACTATTTTCAGAAGTGCATCTAGTTTAGCCAGGTACTTCTATTTGAAATGAAAAGTTAGCTCTTCTGGAATGCCTACCAAGTTGATTTATTTATTTCTTCTGAGAAAGAGGGAGCGAGAAGGAGGCAGGCAAAGGGGCCCCATGCCGCGATCCCCCCAGTTTCAGCTGGCCCAGATCACGGGCATGTGTGCACCTGGTATTCTGGGGAGGCCTGGGGCTCGAGTGCAGCACCTTTCCCAGGTGGGTCCAGGTGCAGGACCAACACACCACCACCGACCCTATTGTGGAATCTTTCCTTCCTCTCTGTAGAGAGGAAGTCTGCTCAGAGTTAGAAGCTCCTGATCTCTTGTCTCTCTTCCCACTCAGAGATGTTCTGTGACATAACCCAGTCCTTCTGAGGTCTCAGTTCTTAACCTGTGAAACTACAGCCACAATTACTATAAAAATAACGAGAACAATTTCTGTTTGTGGAGGTGGAAGATGGTTATGTTTCATACTGTAACGTTTCCCTGACATAGTGACTACATTGATTTAATTAATTATAATGGAAGAAGAGAAACTCCCGAAGGACAGTATTACCAGGCCCGTGAAGCTTGCAGTCTGGAGGAGGCAGAGCGTGGGGGGTGCAGGGGAGTGACCTGAAACCACCAAATACTGGTGGTGAATGCAGGGCACCACGAGGAAGCTTAACAGGGGAACCAATTTAGGGAAGAGAGCCCGGGAGCACGTCTCGAACCGTGAGCTCAGCTGGGCCCTGCAGGGTGTGTGGACTGGAAGAGCCTTCTGAGAAGAGGAAACGGCATGTGCAAAGGCCGTGAGGCCTCTGAGTCGGTTGTAGGTAAGCCGAGAGCCTGGGGTTGTTTAGGAGACCTTTAGAGAGAGAAACCACGGAAGGACTGGGGAATGGATTGGGCAGAAATCAGTGAAGTGGCTTTTCCTTGAAGAAAGAGAACATGCATACAAGAGGGAGAAGGAGGGATCCCCTCAGTGGGGTGGTACAGAAAAGGCGAGTGAGCCCTGGCGGCCTCAGCCAGAGCGGTCTGGGAGCAGGGCGCCATGGGGTGGGCTGAGGGTGACTTGGGTGGTGAGGAGGAAGGACGGCATGATGGCGGCTCTCAAGGTGAGAGTGGCTGGGCTTTGGTTTTGGTTTTAGTTACAGATATATTGTTCGTCGATGAATAGAGTATCCCTTGAATGCTGGATCAGCAGGGGCTGTGGATTTTGGGAAGAGCTGCAGGGTCCTGACATGGGCCAGGTGTAGGATCTGAGTAACTCCATCCTACCTGTCATGAGCTACCTGTGACATAGTAAGAAATTCGTTCTTGTCTTGGGTTCCCAGCACAGAGCTCCTAATCCCTTGCAATTCTCTGGGTGGTAGGAATGTCTTTTTTTTTTTTTTTTTTTTTATTAACTTTACCACACACACACACACACACACACACACTATTTATTTATTTAATTCTAGTTGTTGTTGTTATTAATTTTTACATTTTTCTCTCATTTAAGAAAATGAGAGAAAGCAAGTTGCCAGGTCCGGGACTCGAACTGTGGTCAGCCATGTGGGAATCCAGTGCTCTTAACTACTGTGCCACCAGCTGACCCGGGAATGTCTTTTATTCTAATGAGGTGACTCCTGGAGGGCCCCAGGCTGGGAACTAGTCACCAGAAAGACCATGCCATGGTGAGAAAATTGGAGCTTTCAGTCTCACTCCCTATTCAAGCATACACTTTCTCTTACTTAAAAAAAAAAAAAAAGCAAACGATTATTATTTTTTTTAATTTTCTTGCCAGGAGTCAGCTAGTGGCATGGTGGTTAAAGCAGCTGAATCTCACATGGCCAACTGCACGGTTCATGTCCCTAACCCAGAGGCTTGAGAAACATGCCAGATACATGTACAAGATCCAGAAAAAAGAAATAGGAAAGCACCGTGGCATGACCATGCCCCGTGGCAGGTGCTTTCTTGCTTTCCTTCTCTCTCTCTGTCTCTCTCTCCCTCTCTCCCTCTCTGGAGCAAGCACATATACCCTCTGACCAACAGTTTTTTATTTTCTTGCCAGAGGGGTACCTGTACTTGAGAGTGGGAGAGCCCTCCAGTGAGTCATGCCATGCCACAGTTCTTTTTCATTTCTCCACCCCGTCAGGATTTGGGGCACACGTGCACACATGCCTGGTATGTATTTCACCGTTCTGGGGTGAGGTCTGGACTGCAATTGGCCTTCTGGTGCACAAGGCTTAACCCCCCGTGTCAAAGACCAGCCTTCCGGGAGCTTGGATCCAGTTGATCCACCATGCCCGTGTGCTCATGCTCTCTGTAAGAATCCCTAAACTGCAGAGTTCAGAGAACTTCCAGGTTGGGGGACAAACCCTGTGCTAGCGAGTGGCACACGCCAGTGCTCATGGGGATAGAAGCTCTGCCCTCAGGACCCTTTTGGACCTGGCCCTGTGTGTCTGCACCTGGCTGTTCTCCGCCCCTTTCACCAGGCCTTTCTAACAGACTGGTTTACTGTTGCCCCGAGTGCTTTAAGCTGCCCTGGCAAATTACTGAACAGGAAGGGGGTTCCGGGCCCCTGTCATTGATAGCTGATTGTTCAAGTGCACAGGTGACAGTGTTTTTTCTTTCCTTTTGCCACCCAGGTAATTTAAGTGGAGCTGATGGATTTTAGCCTGGCACTGGGTAGCGATTGTTTTACCTGGCAAAAGGAATTTTCTGAGGCGAGTGCGGCAACTTAAAATTAGAGTGATGTGTTCTGCGTGACATTTGCTGTCACATGGTGGCTGTGTGTGGGATGCCCTTGGTCTGGGCTTGTCTGGGGTAGACGCTGGTAAGCATCCGATCAGGCTTCACTAAGTGGTCAGACTTAATTTCTCAGCCTTATTGTAGGCATACCTAGTCTTTCGTTATAAATAATGTTATGAGGATTCAAAAATAGAATGTATTCCTAAAAGGAAAATACAGATTAAGTGTAAGTTCGTGAATTGCCTAAACTGACCAGGAAGTTTGGCCATTCCAGAACGACTGATCCCATTTAGCAGGTCCTGGATCTGGTGGCTTGCAACTCACTCTGGGTGCATGTATGTGAGTGCCCAAGATCCTGGAGGAGAATGGAAGAGAAGGGACTGTGGTATGGCCATCCCCCCCCCGGGGGGGGTGATTTCTCACTTTATCTCTCACTGTCTCTGTTTCTCTCTTGGGCAAGTGCACGCACTCTAAGGCAAATACCTCTTAAATTTTTTTTTTAAAGGCAGCAGTATTTGTATGACAGGAACACTTTCTAAAATATAAACAGCGACGCTCAACCTCAGGGAGAGATTTGATGTCTTACCCACCATGGGAGCAAAGAGAATTAATGTGAGAGTTGAGTTTCTGCTGGTTTGCTACTGTAATTAGAAATAAATGTTAACTACTCTGGTATTATGATTGCCTTCAGAATATACAGCTTGTGATTGCTTCTCTACCAAATATTCAGCTGTGTCCAGGATTCGGCTGTAGAAGAGGGTCAGCCTAGGTCTTCGTAAGTCCAGTGTCCTCAAACTGTGTGTGTGTGTGTGTGCATGTGTGTGTGTGCATGCACCTACATAGCCTGTAGGTAAAGGAGACTGTAGGTATAGCAGCCCAAAGGGACTGAGCTAGGGCGGGGAGGTGGAGGGGGGAGAGAGCAAATATCTCAGAGAGAGATTCAGAGGCTGATGGACTCACAAAAAGAGATCTCAATCCCAGAAGCCTTTGACAACACTCCTTCTAATGTGCTGGTAAGCATAATATCACTA